CCGGGGCGCGCGGGCCGAGCGGGGGGCGGAGCCGGACGCAGCGGCCTTCCGGAGGCGTCGCGGCGGCTGGGCTTCGTTCTCCCGTTTTCACAAATATCTTTTCCTTCTACGTGGGCATTCTGGTGGGCTGGCTGGGGTGGAGAAGGATCCCTGACCTCTAACCCCGGACACACTTTTCTTCCGTCGACCTTCGCAGAAGGCGGATCCTGACTTGCGTCCTAGGGCGGTGCCCGGGTTCGCGGGTATTCCCGGGTTGGTGGGCAGGGGCTTGGTTGTGAGGAATGCCCACCCGGAGGGTGCTTCTGGGCCGTACCCGGTGGTGGGGGTGCCCCGGCCGGGGCGGGGGGTGTCCTGCTAGGAGTGGGTGCCCGCGTTGTGGCGACCGAGAAGCCTGCCCCGACAGGGGAGGGGAATGTGCCGGTGGGGAGGATTGCCCCGGCTTTGGGAGGATGTCTCAATGAGGAGAGTTGCCTCCGTTTGGGGTGCTTCGGTTAGGGGAGGTGCCCTGGCCTCGGGGCATGCTCTGGCCAGGGAGCACTTCCGCTGTGGGAGACGATGCTCTGACTAGGGAGGGTGTCCCGCTAGGAAAGTGCGCTCTGGACGGGGACTGTGTTCTGATTGGGAAGGCTGGGGGTGGGGCGGGGAACGTCCCCAGGAGGACTGCCCCCCGCTCGTGCGGGATGCTCCAGTTAGGAGGTGTGCTCCGTCTGGGCAGCCTCCGTGAGCCACCCCAAGCTCTTTGAATCGGCACCTACCCGCCAGCCTGCCAGCCAGTTATGCACAGAGATCTCTGCACACCAAGCAGCCCTCATGGACAGCATCACATAAACTGGCTTCGCCCACCCGTTCCCTAAGGCCTATTTTTACCATCTTCTGGGAGTTGAGGAAAGAAATATAGACTGAAATTGGGTTTCTCTGGCCAGTCTTTGCAGCGAGAACTGAGGAGGCCCTGAGTCGAAGGCTAATCCTGCCTCCCCCTGGCTTATGATGGCTCACTCTCACGGGACTGCAGGAAAAAGTAACTAAGGTGGGCATTGACCATGCACAGAGGTGCAGAGGAGGAAGTGGACGAATGTAAGTACCTAGAAAATCTTCCCAGGTTTCTCTGGGACAGCCTAAGTCAGCTCCTGACAGGCTTAGGACCCCAGCTCTGAGCCTCATGACTGGAAGCTCAATAGTCCCAGCCTGCACAGCCCAACCTGACCCACCTTCACCCATATACGCCTCTCTGGCACCATCCTCCCCATCTCCACTCCTGCGTTATCTCCGCAGTGTCTCTACCGTCCTCGGGTTTCAAATACCACTTCTTCAGGGAAGCCTTCCCTGATCTCTCTATTGAAAACAATACTGCTTCCCAGAACTTCCTTGCTTTGACTCCATGGCACTTCACTGCTATGTTGTCTTTCCCACTTAGAAGTCCAGACAGACAGAGATTTTTATCTTGTGTGCCCTACTGCCTATAACAATGCTTGGCATGAAGGAGACAAATATTTGTTGAGGGGCACCTGGGTGGCTCAGTCGGTTAAGCAGCTGCCTTCGGCTCAGGTCATTATCTCAGGGTCCTGGGATTGAGTCCCACATTGGGCTCCTTGCTCAGCAGGGAGCCTGCTTCCCCCTCTGCCTGCCACTCTGCCTACTGTGCTCACTCTCTGTCAAATAAAATCTTAAGAAAAAAAATATATATTTGTTGAATGAATAAATCAGATGTGGAGAGAAAGTCCTTTACCAGGCAAATATTGACTGTAAGTGAATGTGTCCCCATTTTGCACTGTAAGCCCAACCCACCCTATCCTTGTGTGATCACTGATCACTTATATCAAGTGCTGTTTTTGACACATGCCATGTGAACTGTATAACCATCAGGTCAGTCATGAGACGTGGGTTGAGTGAACAAACTAAAGCAAGGGAGTTGAGTGCCCTCAAGACCGCCTAACTGTTGAGACGCTGAGATGGGGTTGAAAGCCAGGCAGGTTTCCAACAATGAGGCCTAATGGATGGTTTACAGATTATCCTCCCTGTGGCATATTTTGAGCTTTTCTCCAATGTTCATCCTCTCCTTGTTCCACAAATAGTAACATTTTAGCTGGGTACATGGCTGCCTGGCTAAGGAGCACATTTCTGTCAAGAGTGGCCAATGGGATGTTTGCACAAGTGATTCAATCTACTTCCCAGCCTGTAGCCTCCCAGAAGTTACAGGAGCAGGCCCAGGAAATTGGCTGATGGTGAAGTCTGGAATGGCCACCCTGAACCCCGGGGTGGAAGCCTCAACCTGAGAATAACAGCTATCTGAACTGTTAAGTGTACAAGAAATAAACCCCCAAGGGCGGGGGGTGGGGAGGCAGGGGGTTCAATATGTCCAGTCCTAGTCCCGTAAGTTTGTTATAGATTAAGGTAACTGAGACACTTACCCAAGGTCACTCCCTCACCGTATGTCAGATACGGAATTTCAACCCAAAGTCTTATCTTAATCCCACCTCCAGTATTTCCCAAAGCACGGTCCAGATCACTGGCCCCATTGGGCATTTACAGGCCTCCCCACAGCACTGGAACACCTGCAGGATGCCCCTTTGGTAAACGTTGCTCTGCCGAACCCTGACTTTATTTGTTCTTGGGTTCCTTGAATCCTAGACAACAGGCATTTGAAAGGGACCTCGGGAGCAGGCATGGGCTTGGGTGTTCATGGGAGACGAGCAGCAGTATCCCTCAGAGCCAGACGTGGGTGGCAGTGGTGACAGCAGGAACTTGAGACTTGAGGCCAAGGATAAGGGAACAGCACAAGGGGTGGGCACGTGGGCAAGCCCACCTGGTCACCCCCCACAGGATTTCCTCTGGTGCAGGAGATCTGAACTCCGCCACCTGGAATGATGGGTGCTGGATGGGCAAGCCCAAAGTGTGTCAATAAAACCTTACAGGGGTGCTCTTCTCCCCACATTACAAATACATTTTAAATTAACACCAAGGCTCCAGACATGCAAGCCCCACTCTGAGGGCACATCCTTAAGCAGAACCATGAGAACGAGCACCAGCCCCGGCCTGAGTTAAAGGTACCCAGTCCATGCTGGTCCCGCTCCCCCGGGCCAGTCTTCTAAGCCCTAGGCACCTGGAAGGAGACGCCCAGAACCAAGGAGAGGGGCATGCGCACTGGAGAGGATGGGGCGGCCCATAGGCGGGGTTCCAGGACTGAAGGAAGGGCGAGCAGGACCAGGAGTGGGGGGTGCATGCCCAGGAGGGGCACCCAGGGCTAGGCTGCTATGCACCGGGCGGGAAGAGGGTGCCCGAGAGGCTGTCCTGTGCCTAGCTCTACAAATGAAGTGCTTTATTTACACGGCATCTCTCCAGGCCCCAGGCCCCTGGGGAGAGGCTGGTCCCTAGGCAGAGGCTGAAAGGAGCAGCCGGGCAGCAGCGGGTCCTGAGTGGGCCGGGTCAGGCCGGGAGCGAAGAAGGCACAAGGCCCTGGGTGCCCGGTCCCAGGGCAAAGGTCAGCCCACCCGGAGAAGGCGGCACAGGGTCAGCTCCCAGGTGTCAGGCTGGGATCTGCACCGCCACAGCTCTGCTCATAGGATGGCGGGGCCTCTGCGGAGAGAGAACGAGGTCTGCATGGGGTTCATGGTGCCCTCTCCCCCACCCGGCCCCAGGCCCCTCACTCACCATAGGGATAGCCCCACGAACTGTACTCTGGGGGCAGGATCAAGGTACTGTTGGTGGGCACTGGCCCTCCGGAACCCTCTGCAAAGTAGGGGACTGTGGCACCTGTGGAGATGCACAAGGGAGGGGGCAATGGGTGGGGAGCAGGGCTGCCATCCTGAGGGCGGGGTTCAGGGGCACCAGGCACAGAGCCAAAGGCAGCAGGCAATGGCTGCTCATGTGAGTGGCTCTCCGTGGAGAGGGAGACTGCATCTGCGAAGCGGGGGCTGCTGGCCGCAGCCTCGGCCTCCTCCTGGGGCGGCGCCGAGGGCACCACGGGGACTGGCACCCCAGGAGGCAGCCCTGGGCCTGGCCGGAGGCTCATCGGGGCGTGGTTCACAGCGATATTGCCGATGAAGACAGGGAGGGTCACAGTGGCTTCAGGCACCTTCAGGGAGACCTGGGGAGGATGGGAGAGTGAGGCTAGGCTACCCAGCCCCCTTTCCCCACCACACTCCCTCCAACCCCCAGCACCTGCAGGTAGTAGTCCACGTGGATGAGGCTGCAGCCTGGCAGGGCTGACTGGGGCAGGGCAGGCACCAGGATCTGCTCTTGCCACTGTGCCCGCCTCCAGGCCTTGACACCTGCACCCTCTACTTCTGCGATGGTCCGCACATCATGGACCCAGCGCTTGGCCTTGTAGG